GGGGCGGGGCGGGGCGGGCGCGGGCGGCGCGTGCGCGCTGGGTCCCCCATTCTTCCCGTGGTCAGCGGGGCGCGCGCGGCCATGGAGCGGAGCGGGCGCCGCCGCCGCCGGCACTGAGGGAGGGAGACGCGAGAGGGAGAAGGGAGCGCGTCCGCCCGGCCCCCGCCCCGCAGGTACCGCCCGCGCCCGCCCCGCGGGGGGCCCGCGGGGAGAAGCGCGGCCGGGGGGCTTTGTGTGCGGTGCCGCCGCCGGGTGACCGCGGGGAACGCGGTTCGGGGCGGGGCCGACCCGTCCGCGGCACCGGCCGGGAGGAGCGCGGTGCCGGCTCTCCCGGCGGCGCTGGTCGGGAAGGGCTGGGAAGGGCGGTCCGGCGGGACCGGGGGTGCGGGGGCAGCCGGGGCCTGGCGCGGGGCCGCCCCTCGGCCCCCCGCCCTGGGGCCGCCGAGCACCGGCCGTGCCGGGGCCGCGTCAGGGCAGGGGGTCCCGGCGAGGGTCCCCGCTGGAACGGACAGCTCGGTAAGGGAGAGAGAGAGAGGCGCGGCCGCGAGCGGCGAGCGGCGCGGGGCTTTGCTAACGCTGGAGGCTGCTGCGCTCCCGAAAGCATCGTGTGGCTTGGGTGGGCTCAGCCCTTGTGCTTGGCCCCTTTGTGCACGTGCCGTGCTCTGCTTCGTTTGGTTCTGGCTGCATTTTCAATGGAAGTTGGGGCAGAACTGTGAGTTTGTGCGAAGAGGTGCGTTGGTCATTTAGACAAATCCTGCAGAAATGCTTCGGAGAGATACTGGGTCTGAGTAAATAAAATGTAATTGTGCGTGTTACAGGTCTGTGTGGGCTATGCATAAGGTATTTTTAATGTTATATGTCTAAAGATACTGGTGAGGGAGGGAAAGGCTGCCTGCTTCCCCAATACCCTGCACAGCTGCTTGAGAGGGATGTGAGAAACTGAGGTAGGATAACAGGCTCAGGTTGTCTGGGAAGCCTGTGGTGGAGTAGCACAGAGGCTCCCCAGGTGTGTGGGTTGTTCTGACCAATGGATTTCTCTGCCCATGTGGACTTACTTCATAAGTCAGTGTTTCATAAAGGAGGCTAGGGTTAAGTAAAGTATCATGTGCCAAGCCAGTGTTAATAGGGCAGGGATGTGATCTCCAGCCCAGCGCTTGTGCCAACATCGGAGACAAATATGTCTTAGGCCAGTTTGCTGCTGAGCAGTGTAGCTGCATTTCTCTGTGTCTTTTGAGCTGTTGCATTTCTGTTCTGTGCTCCTCTTGATGCTCCCTGGGCACCATTGAGGACAAATCAAAGTCTTGTCACTTGGATCTGGAGACACAAATCCATCGTTTATATCAGTAGTGCTTAGATAGTTCTCGGAAGGGTGTTGGAAGTGCAAGTATTTGTTTCCGTGTGGGATTCTGAATTGGATTTAAGAGTTTTGCAGCTGGAGAAGGGATATGTTTGATAACTTGCAGTAGGAGTCAGCTTTCTCTTGAGCAAAGGACTACACCCAAGTGCAGAGTGGAACTGCAGTGCTGTCATATTCGGGGTCTTCTTTCTTGTGGCAACACAGCTTGCTGTGTGGAGCAAGCCTTTGTGCTGCATTCCTGGGCTTGGCAAAGTTGAGCCTTTGCTTGTTTTCTCTGTTGAACCCTGTCAGTGGGACTGAAGCCTGGAAGTTACGAGAGGGGCAGAGGAATGGCATGTCACCATGGGTGATTCTCTCTGTATTTCACAGTCTCACTTGCTTAATTTTTTTTAATTGTTGCCAACATAAATAGATTTTTTTTTCATCCTGGTGCCTGCAACATTCCTGTGAAGTTCTTAGAATTTGTCAAGCAGCTTCAAAACTTTCTGTTTCAAGAAGAAAAATGCCATGGTGTTAACACTTCAGCCTTGCTTCACTTAGCTGATAGCAAGAGGTGTTAAAAGTGATAGAGCAGCAGATTTTAGACGTGGATATGTTTCTCTAGTTCACGTGATGTTCCCCAGAAGTACAGCTGGAGGGAGTGCCTATGACTGAATGAGTTGGTCCTCCAGGATCTTTGAAGTTCTGTAGGAATCTTGAATCTATGCTACAGCTTAGGTGTTAAGAAAACTATATATTTAAACAGCAAAAGTCAAACTGAAATGAAATTTGTCTGTTTCTCCCAATTAATCAATCCTTCTCTATCCATCAAGCAATTTCGTCAGGGCAGTTGGATGTTAAGAGGATGAGAGTTTGCAGCAAGTCTGGCCACTTCTGTAGTGATTAGCAGCATCACAGAGGAGGATGAGGGCAAGATGTCCTCTACAGAGGAGCCCTCAACAACCTTTGTGTCAGGAGCATGGAGAGGCTGGACACGAAATGTTCAGAGGGATAAAGCAGTGACCTTCCCTGCAGGTAGCTCACAATTTCAACATACACATGGATTTCTGTGGGAGTAATGTGGCTTTGAAGCTTGTGGACTGCCATTACAGGTCCCTTCTGGCCTCAGATGACTTTGGATCAGGCTCATGTGTCACCCTGAGTGTCTCATTATCTCAGGCCTTGCCTAGACTGGGACTGGAAATCTTGTTGGTGTGCCTGGATGGGGCTTGCTGTTGTTTGTGCCTCCTTGGCTGGCAGTTGTTATTGAAGCTTCTCCTGGATTGTGACAGTGCCAGCTCACCTTGGAGCAGTGATTGCCAGTGCAGTGGAGAAAGTGCTGGCAAGTATAGAAAGGTCTGTCACCTGAGCGAGTACAATAGACTGTCCGTGTCTATTAATTTCTTCAGACTGCAACTTGAGTAAATTCTGAGCAGTCTGACTGAGGAAAGGGGTTTGCTTCTTTCCTTGATGAAGGGTGATGTGACAGTGATGTGCAGCTTTAGCTTTACCTCACTGTTTGATGGTGTCCACTTCATGTTGTGCTTTGCTCATTGTTCCTTTTCCATCACACTGTACCGTGTTAAAGCTTGCATTATGTGTTTCTTTAGAGCTCATTCAGTGGTTTGGATCTTGTCCATTGGACCAACCTGTTACCAGTTCTCAAAGCTATGTGAAAGTATGATGTGAGCTGTTTATGAGCTTTGCAGAGTGCCATACTGAGGAGCTGAGCACATACATGTTCCTTGGCATTCTGCACTGCACTGGTGTCTGGCTCTGTCATACATGGGAGAGTTCACTTTCTCCTCTCTTTGGGAGCATTAGCACTCTTACACCTGTTAAAAAAAGCCACACCACAAAACCCAAGTGAACTGGATGGAGTTGTAACTGTTCAAGTTGTAGAAGGGAATAAATGGGTTTTGTTGGAGAGGTTGCAGGTGCTCCCCAAGAGATTTGATCTCAGTTCATGGTTAGTGTTTGAGTTCACGTGGCTTCCTGTTCTGCCCCTTAATCAAATCTCTGCATGTTTGGCTCTGCAAGGAGGGAGATGTCCATTCTGCATCCAGAAACAAGTATGCCAAGCAGGAGCCACAAAATTAATTATTAGGGAAGCGTCATCATCATTAGTTTATTGTGAGTGGGAAGATTTAAAAATCTCTAATTTGTTTCCACTGCCAGCAGGATAACAGACTAAACAGCCCAACCAGGCCAGTCCCTGATGCAGTGTTTCAGTTTTTCAGGCTTAGTCTGTGGCCCTTTCTTTACATTTTGCATTTGGATACTTCAGATTCCAAGATATTTCAGAAAGCCAAATCGAACCAACAGTAATTTGCGGAGGCAGAGATCTGGTCAAAATAAAGTTAGATTTTGACAGGTGTTTCAAAGTGCTGCTGAGCAGAAGGGAGGAATTGCAGGTGTGTCTCTGCTTGTGATATGCAGGTGGTTTCGTAGGCCAGAAGTTCCCTTAACTGTTACTGGGGTTCAGCCCAATTCGTGGTACTGTCAGGTAAAACCTCCTTCTGCTCCTCCTTGTCCTGTGTTTCCTCCACCCAGTGTTTTATATATCCTAAAGGGTCATGGTGGCTTTCTGCCCTCCCCTGCAGTCTGTGCTGAGGGATTTCTTTGGCTGTCCACTTCTGTGCAGTTGCAAGTGCCAGGCTGAGTAGAATCTGCTTATGCCTGAGTGTGGAGGGTAGCCCTCCTTCCCCTCCCTGGAGCTGAACTGGTTCTCGGTGCTGGCTTCTACACCCCCCCAGCCTGTCAGCAGCTGAAATCCTGCTGCTGCTGAGTTCTCCTCTCTTTAGCCAGGAGTTTCCATGGCAGCCCTGGAGAACAGGGGTAGGCAAAGTCCCCTGTTTTGCCATGCAAAATACTTGTGCTTAGAATCATGGAAGAGAGATGGGTGTTAGCTGGGAAGCCTGACAGAGACCAAGAATATAACCTTTTTCTAAAGTTGTTGACTTGTAAACTGCTGCTGTTGCACCCCACAGCCAGTGTCCCTTGAGGGTTTGCACCCAAGGTTTGATCTTCTGAATTATTTTCCTGTTCCGGCCTGTCATTTTACTATAAGCACTTGTCTCTCAAGTACTTCCTTCTGGTTTAGTTCTGGTTTGGGCTTTCACACAAAAACTGACTTCTGTGTCACCAGCCGTTATATATAAGTAGGAATAGCAAGGTCCTGGAGGACTGGAGTAAGAAATTTATGTCAAACCCACTGCTCTCTTTAAAATTCAGTTATTTGGATCTTATACCAGCATGTGATGGTATCAGTTTTTTCTTTTCCCAAGGTGTTCTCACCCTCAGTTACCACTGCCACTGGAGGCTTGATTTAGAGTGGCTCTGGGAAAGGCACTGAATTCCTAGCCCATACTTACATATAAAATAGGAAGGTTGTATTATACTACTTTTTTTCTTCAAGTGATGTACACAAAGGAGATGCTTTCCCTCTTCAGGACTGCTTAAATTAGTAATCTTAGCCTGAGTGACTTAATCATTCACAATGCAAAGAGAAATTACCAGATTCAGATGTTCTGTGAAGCCACTTGTCATGCCAGCACACTGCAAGTGATGATGTTGCTCTAATTCTCAGTAGTGTTCTACTTCCAAACCTTGCTAAGCATTTTACCTACAAGGCTACAGGTGAAAGTCTGTTCTTCCCTTGTTTTTTTCCAGATGTTCCTATATTGCTGCTGGATTGTGGAGGAAAGGGTGAAGATGTGACTGGAAAATTTTGTCCTGCTCTCCTAGTTGCTGTGGAAAGGGGGCTGATGACACTTCCTTTCTTCTGGGATGCCAGACAGCCCCCTGTGCACCCTTGGCTAGGTCACCTTGCAGAGC